TTAGCTCTGCTGTTCTCTATTTATGGACACGCTATGAAAGCAGTTTGTCAGCAACTTTTTCTGAGTGTTCACATTACCAAATACACTCATTCTGAACTCACTCTAATGTAATTATCAAATTCAGCGGCAAGCTGATAGCACAGCTAAAGGAAAATCCCAACCTGCCTCAGTGTTTTCATGCTGCAATTGAAAACAGATGGTGACTCGTGTAATTTATGCTTTTCTACAGTCAGTAACATGTTAGTATAAGATAAGAATTCTAAGACTGAATTGCATCTGCTTCAACAACACCATATGCTAGTGCACAGTATAAATATTTATCCAAACCTACTTCATCTTCTCATTTAAAGCTCAGTTCCATGAAAAAGTGAAAGTACCCTTCAGATTCCTTCAATCAGCATTGAAGCATCTCCCCAGTGCTTCAAAGGGTCAAAGGCCCAGCACCAAACACAGAGGTATCTTCTCTTTCCTAAGCTTCATGGAGAGGGTTAAATGGAGGCATGCATATTGTGCCTTATTTATACAATATAAATCCCAGTCTTCAAGCTTCCACTAAGCTGCTTGTAGGAGTTACAAGGAAGTTTCTCACTTATGATATCCATGCTTCCCTACTTTTCCCATGATAGCATAAAACACTGGAAATTGGCCACAGCCATAAATGGGATATTTTTCCTCGGGGAATATTTTTTTCTAAAAGGACTTTTAGCCTGGTTTATCTTGCTTGTCAAAAAGTTAAGCAACCACCATGTTTGAGGTCAGACAGGCAAGGACCATGGAATAAGTTTTGTGTTTCTCTGCAGCATGGAATATGTTCAACCTCATGAGAATCTCACAGTTCAAATTTCTTCCAAGGAATCTAAGACATTGGCGATTCCTCTGACATTGCATAGTTTTGGGTTGTTTTCCTCCCACTTGACACCTACAACACATACATTTTAATCTTTTATGTTACAAGTCATTGTGGCAGTACTTGTACTCTTTGGACTAATCAGATGGTACCTGTGTTCCTTGGATTGCAGGGAGACTGGGCTTGATGATGTTGATGAACGGACACCAATCAACTACTTGAGACAGCGTAAACCCAATTACACTTGAGATCTGGCTCTTATTCCACTAGTTAAATCACTTCAGAAACTGGACCTGAAATAATCATTTGTGAATACTGAAGACGATGGCACAGGCAGAAAATTATGAATCTGATCTGCTCCCTGAGCCAGCTTTTAAAGACCAGGAGAGCAGAACCATAATGAAAAGGTCCTCGCTCCATACCACAGTCCCCAAGCACAGCTCTAAACAAAAGAGGTTGGTGCAAGTGACTACATGTGGTCCTTCAAACTTCCCGGTGCTGACTGAAATGAAGAACTAGAACAGGCTACAAAAACTTGAGTGGCCATTGGCAATTTATGTGATACAAGGACCTTAAGTACAACAGCTATAAATACTAATTTGCTCAAAATCGGTTTAAGGAATCAGACATTCGTTAGCGTTCCTCAAAGGTCTGAGTTGGGCACTGACTTCTCCAGCCAGTGGGAAAACAGATAATCAGCAAAATGAGTGATTAATTTGTGTCTCTCACAAGCCTCACACTAAGCTAGATCTGCTCATTTTGTCACACTCTGTCCGGTGATGTCATACTAAATAAGAACATGTGATGCATAATTTAAGTCACTAGTTTGAAGTCAAATTGCATAACTTCTCAAAGAATACTTTCACCTTAAAAACAGAAATGAACTTACAGAATAAAACACTGAGAAAAAGGGAAAAAGAGTTTCCTGAAAACAACTGGCAATCTTAAGCAGCGTCATCTGCAAAGAATCAAATTTTGTAGCCAGTCAATACTGAATATGAAAGCAACCTGAGAACTTCAAAATCCTGCTGGTCCTGTCTGCCACTGCTGAGGACAGCAGACAGCTAAACAGAGCTGCAAATAACTTAGAAGTACCATTGCAACACTGACTCCTTTCATAGCCCCAAGTCGCCTCCAGCTCCCACTTGTTAATGTGCTTACAGCAACCACTCTCTTCACAGCGCTGTGACAAGCTTCAACACTTCAGCAAACTAGGCCAAAAATACTTTAATAAAGCTAATTAACAAGTTATTTATTGAATTATTTGCTCAGCTTCATACCTGAAACCTCACACTGCAAACAGCAGTCCTATTTACCAGCCCCAGAAGAGGTATCAGGACCTAAAGCCAAAAAACATAACACCCTCTCACACATCTTCAGCACTTGTATGCTTGTATGGATTTTCTCAGAAACAAATTGTCTGAAAATTCCTCCAGAAGAGGATGTCAGATATGGTGGCCAGTGCTGCCACACCGAGGTGCATGTGTGTGATGGAGCACTGTGACTCCGAGCTGCCAAGCCCCGTGCCCACCACGCAGCCGCTGCGTGTGGGCAGAGCTCCGGCCCAAGCTCATTGAGATTTCCACTTAGACTCCCAATTCACAGCACTTTGGAGCAGGCCAGGAACACAGCCAAGGTCAAACTGAAAGCAAGCCACCACAAAGTCCTGCAGGTAGGTTGAGCCTGTTTACTGATTTCTGTAATACATGGTAGAATTTTAAGCGCACAAACTGAGGTCCTACAATGAGACTGCAGGCAGCAGTCCTCTCTCAACAGTATGTCTGGCATAATCCAAAGACAGGAAAATAGTGGTCTCCAAAAGAGGTAAGTGCAAAATCATAAGCTTTACAAATAAAGACACTTCCAAAAACAACTACAATGGATGCATCTCCTTAAGAGGAAAATCCCTGCTGCTACTGCCAAGAACTTTTCTACAAACTGCAACGCCAAGTCTTGGCTCTTCTTCAAATTCTTGCCCTTTTCATCATAGCCAACTTTCCTTGTTAGCGCTTCTTTGGTGTAGCACTCTTTTTGCAGACAAAAGCCTCTTGCACCAGCCCACCAGAAGTTACTGAGCCCAACAGCCTATTTTCAAAGCACCCTTCCTGCAGCTTCCACACAGAGGAAGGTTTAATTTCAAGGACCTGTCATCTAAAGCATGTCATGCGATTCCTTTACATTTGCCAGATTGAGGAGTTCTCTAAACAGATGGATTAAGTGACATAGATTTTTTAAAATTTCAGATACTTCACTGTGATTTACATACTTATTGCCATGGGAACATCTCAACAAAAGCCATTATTTTCAAAGAAAAACACAATTTCTTCACTAGGCTAAAGGTATTCAGAATTTCCAAAAATGGGGCATCAATTTTGGTGTCTAAACAAAGGTTCATCTAACATATGGACATAAATTTTTATGTTTGATTCTGCTCTGAAAAGCGATTTTACATAAAGATAACAGCTTCAAAAATAATCAGATCTGTCCTTTGTGTAAATTCAAAGTAATATATGCCAGTTTTACAATACTGTTTGCTCCCCTCAGAACAGCAGACTGTTTTGCATTTTTATGTCTTGAATGGTTCAGGCAGACCTCTGTAACCCCATCAGATTACACATATGACACCACAGTGTTGTTTTTACAAGTCAGGTTTCAGAATAGTTCTACCTTACTGCTAGCTGCTATATTCAAAGAACAAAAGATGCTGTAAAATACCAACCCCCCAAGTTCAGGATCTAGAACATACACATGAATAAATTCATTATTTTTAAATTTAGGTCCTTTAAATTTAAGGCAGGATTACTATTTGAAAATTATACTCTTCATATAAAAAATGTAAATATATATTTAGGCATTGTTATGAAATGTATCAAAAAATTCCAGCTCCCTCAGAATTCAAGCTGTTTGCCAGCAGGATGTGTTTGGGTGCTGCATGCACCAACAGGCTCTGCAGCTGCCATTCCCTGTCCCAGGGCTTTTTCCTGCCCGTACTCAAAAAAAGCAAATGTTTCAAAGACAGTGTGTTCTTGCAAGCTTCATTAAAAATAAAAAGCAGCAGTCAGAGAGGAGAACCCCCTGTAGTGCACTTGTTAAGGACGGTGCCATAGTAGGTCTGGCACTGTGTAGTGGGCAGGATGGACATCCCTGGAGTCGTGGCAGCGTGTGCCACCTCCAGCTTGGTGGGTGTGAATATATGGGTGAGAGGCAGCTGGGGTGAGTGTGATGGGAAAGGAAGCTGAATAGAAGGCTGGACAAAATTTGTGGCAAACTAGGATGCATGTGGAATACACCTGAAACTTTCATCTGTGTTGTTGGCATACAATAAAACATGACATAAACTGATAATTTAGTCTTTCTGTCTGGCCCAGCCTGGATATTGGAGCAGGTGTAGCAGCTAGTTTCTCTTTCTTGCTTTTACCTGTACTTGATATAATGCTTTGCTTTTATTTTTCGCGTTGTACAAGGCAGAGATTAATTCACAGATATATGCAGGATCTGATTCAAACTTGCAGGTAAGTCAATGGGCTCTGCATTAGCAGTGCAAAAGCCTTCACATGGAATGTGTATTTATTGATTCTTAAATCATATATGAAACTATTTGAACTCTTTATAAAATGTGAAAGTATCATTCATCCTTCTTTGCAAAATTTCTTGAATCTTAACTGCTGTACACTGAACAATGGGCTATGCTTGCTTCACTTTCAGTAGGTATGTCTGACTTTGCCTCTTCTTATACGGATGAAGTCCAGAAGCTACATACTAGCAACAACATAAATGGCAAAGTAAAAAGGGATGTTAAAATTGTGCAGAGTTGAAAAAACATGATAATAAAATTTAAAAAATCAACCAAAAAAACCAAAACACCACCACCACCAAAACCAACTGAAAAAAAACCCTCCCCAAAAAGAGAAAGGGTCAAGAAAGAAACTTGGAAAGGATAAATAAGTTTCATGTGAAAAAGAGACTTCAAGAATCTCAAGGACAGAATGGGTTGAAAGGCAGCAGAACTCACTGTACACAAATGCCTGCAACTGAGACAAAGGCACTCAATGCTGGAAACAAAAGCACCTCTCCCTCCCCAAGTACAGGCAGCCCAGACCTTCACTGTGCACAACAAATTCCCCTGGGAAGTCATTCCACTTTGAAAACCAACCTTCATCCCAGCTGCAGCTGCTGGCCCACTGGGGTCCACAGCCTGGATGTGGCAGGGCTTGCTCCCCCGCACCACAAAGCCCCAGCCCACCGCGTCCCCGACGATCTGGAAAGAGAAGAGAAGCACATGATAACTTTCAGGCAGCTCCATGAAATTCAAGGGGACAACATATAAACGGTCCAAGATGTAATTTCAACATCTCTATACTTCAAACACATAGTAGAGGACGTAGCCTACAGGCTGCTATGTCACTCATGAGAAAGGCTCTACCCAAATTATTCCTCTTGCTTTTCATGAACTTTTTTTGTTGAACTAGGAGGCTGTAAAAAGAAATGCTTCCAATGACTAAGTTCAAAAATGTCTTTACAGAAAGGCTCTAAAAGTGTATATGAGTCAAATTTCTGTCACATCATGTAGAAAGACCCTGGTAGAAACTTCCTTTTGGGTAGGTGATCCACTGCTGCAGAGCACAAAGTATTATCAGGAACACAAAGTCTAGATGAGTTTGTATTATACAAATGTTATTGGCTTTATGTAATTTTACACTCCTTTTAAGTCAGCAGTACCACATTGGCATAAAGACAGGATAAACAAGTGCAGAATCAGACCTGAAATGTGTGGAAGTACTGATAACGGAGTTTGGGATTTTAAAGTACAAACCTCAGCAAATGCAAATAAGCTCTAATTATCCCATCAGAAAATGTCTGTTTAGACTGCCTAATGCATACAGCATGCAGAAAATAAAGAAAAATACTGGAGACATACCGTGAAAGTTTTTCTCACATATGGGGCTCCAGGCATTAAGAGCTCATCAGCAGTCACAGGTCTCTTTAATACTGTGAAGGTATAGAAATGAATATTAAATATAACCATTCCTCTGGAGTTTCTCCTAATAAATAAGATACAGTGTTGGGATACAAATCTTTTTGGTCCCATTTCCCAGACATGCTTTCAGTTCTTGCAGACTTGCTTGAAAGTAATAAGAGAACAAGGAAAAGTCTGCAGAATGAGTATAAATGATGAGATCTTTGGAAAATTGGGGCATTTAGCCAACAGACTTTGTTGACTGCAATTAAAATCCCCTAAACATTATCACAAACATCAAAAGTGTCTTTTCCTGTGTCCAGTGTTGAAATCTTCCTGGCATGGAGCTGCGATTCTTCCCGGCTTGCTGTGTGCTTGTTGGGCGCTCTCTGCTATTTCATCTGAGTTGGGTTTGAATCACAGACTTAAGTAACAGGAAAATCCTGGTTGTGTCAGCAATTATCTCAAGAGATTTCTGCAGTTGTAGGCACAGACCTATAACTCAATCTTGTCCAGGGACAGACTAGGTAACCTATAGCTAGCTGGGATTTTACATGAAAGGAATTATCAGCAAGTTTATGCAGGTGAATCCCTATTGCATTGCTATGTAACGGGATAACTTTCCTCTCAGAAAAGTAAATTTAAAGTTTTGACAAATCAAATTAATACCATTTTTTATCTGTCTATAAATGTTTCACAAGACAGAGAATGACATAAAGATATATATTGTTCATCCTACTGGCCTGCTTCACCCTTAAAATTATGGCTGTTTTCTTTTAGTGATAAATAATTTTGATGATGTCTGTCTTTTCAGTTACAGGTGGGATGCAAAATTTCCCACAGATGGTATTTGAAAACATTCTTGGGTTTCTTAATGGTATGCATTAGAGCAGGGAGAATTCTAGCATACGAATCAATACCTTTTTTTTTTTTTTAATTTTCCCATGGATTTTGACAAACTGTCGTTTAGCCAATGTTACACATTGCAGAGCATGTCTGGTCAACAGAAAAAAACCTGAATGATTGTGCTCATTTAACAAGTCAGAATCAGATAAATCATCCATGCAGGTCTCCCTTATGTGCCTCCCTTCATTATACCTCCAGAAGTACTTTTTTGTTTGATGATTGGTTTTCTACATGATTGGTCAAGTCACGACCTGGGTGTTTTTGAAGTGTTTGCCTGCAAGAGAATTCATCCGACAATAAATGTACCTCTGCCTTGCGTTTATTAGCACGTAGTTCAGAGATACATTCTGTGTCTGGATAGCAGGAAACTATTTGTGAACAAAATCGCTTTATAGTCCAGCAGAGGATTAAGAATTCCTTGCAACGTTTACATCTGACAGCCTTATGTTAACCTATGTGAGCTGACGTGTGGACTTGTACTTGTGCTATGGGAGAAATAACCCTACACTGCCAGTAATTGTATAATTCCTAAGGATCAGTCTGTTTATAAACCCATTGCTGTCTTCTTTCAAATATGAGTCTGTTAAAGCTATTCAGAGTTTGAAAATGAGTCCTAAGGGAATGTTTCTTTAAAAAAAATAAAGAATTCATGCAAGGGCAATATCAGTCTATCCTTTTTCTTCCAGTGTTGTGTAATCAGCTGCATTAAAATAAACTTGTTCTCACTACTCATGGGTTGACACTTCATATAAAATCAGAACCATAAATGAACTGAATAGTTGGCGTACTTCAGATAACACACACATCTAGGGACAGTGCACGAATGCTGTTTTATCTGTCCCAGAAAATTCTCCAGAATGTAATTAATGTGCTGGGGACAAAGAGCTTCCCATACAAAACCTACCAGAGCATTTCTGGGCAAGTATACCTGAGAGATATTCTACCAAAGCATGATAATGTGGCACTCTTCACACAGAGACAAGCTCCTTGCCTGTACGGATAAGCATACTGGAAGGTGGTGCTGAATGCCCAACAGCCCAAAGATGCAAAGACCACAAGCACTGACAGCATTTCCAGGTCTGCTGTAGGGAGTTATGGCTTCTGAGCATACTCTCCTACTGAGTCCTTTCAATTTTTTTAATTAAGAGCCTCATACTGAATTCCCAGCAGAGGCTAAGGAGAGGGAAGGACATGTGCTAAAAGGAAAGAGAAGGAAAATATCCCTGTAAATATGTTTCCCTTTTTGATGGCCACTCTGCACAGCAGGAATGAAATGCACTTTAGTTCACTCCTCTCTGGAGTGAATGGTCAATGTTTAGAACAGCATTCATCTAGTGCTTGAGGCACTCTCTAGTAATCACTTCAAATGCCAGCACCCCTCTGAAAGCAAAGATTACACATATCCACTGAAGCCTTACCCCATTGCACAGTACTCCCCACAGCACCAGCAGAGACACGGCAAATTTGAAATAATAAGGAGCTCAAAGGGCAGAAGGGATCTTGCTTTGAAATTTGTGGCTGTTTCTGAGGGAAACAGAGAGGCTGAAACAATATCTATCTTGTTCTGTTTTCCTCTTCCCAGATGTACAGTAAGAAACGATTTTAAGTGAATTGTGGAAGAATGGGTGTGTTTAACCTTCCGGCTGGGATAGGAAATCCTTTCAAAAGGAAAATAAGCTTCAACACTACTTTTACCTTTCAAAACAGACCAATGTAAAACTTAAACAAACAAAAATGCTAAAGTGGTCCCTGACAGGCTGAAACAATGCTGCCTCTCTTCTTTTTTTAGAGGCTTCTGTTTTCTCAGTGGTGTTATTTCAGAGCAGCTCAAGCAGTCACTGGATAGTTAAACTCTCCTCTGACTTGCACCAAAGGAATGTCTCTATGAGGAGATTTGAATTGGTTCAGAGCTTGGCAATGAAGAGGCAAATCTAGGCCTCTGACTGCATGTCCTCCTAAGAGATAAACTGCAGCTCAAACCACAATTATGGACTTGACACAGATATAACTGGAGGCAGACGTCTGGCTTGTGTTCAGCAGGACTTCAAGCTAGAAGATGAGACTTCAAGCTAGTCCCTTCTGGCCTACAAAACCTGTGACACTGTGAATTTTTATGTGTTCTTGAAAATATAAGCTTAGTGTGACGCTGGGCATTCTCCCCAAACAGATGTCTGCACCCTCACTCCTGTGCATTGCAAATGATCCTGGTGCTCACCAGATTTGGGGTTGCAGAGCACGGGGGGACTGCTGCTGAGCGTTGGGCTGCTGCTGAAGTACCCGCTGCTGCCACAGCTGCTCATGCTGCTCCTTCGCACTGCCGACACGATCTTTATCTCCTTGGTGGGACTCACTACAAACAGAGAGAAAATACAGAGGGAAAGAGAACTGGTATCAGTTAAACCATTTCCCTGGTTTCTTTGAAACAACAGCAACAATACAAGCTTTCATTGACAGCACTGGAAAGGGCCAGTATGTGTCCTATATAGAAGAGTCACTGCATGAGTGTAATGCTGTAGTTAACAGGATGGCTGAACTGCTCCTATTGCAGTGTCTTCTAAGAGGCATTGAAATGTAGGGAACTAAGTTTTTCGGTTTTATTCCTTTCAGCTCCTACTAGATAATAATGGCCAGTCTTCGCGAGCAAAGATTTGGGAAA